GGTGCGCGTTTTCAGCATACCGACGTGCTTCAGTGGTACTTTTAGATATTGTTATTTAGGCCTACTTATATGCAGTTTTTATGGTTAGAATGATGTTTACACGGGGAACTTACTTGATTAGGTAAGCTGATGCCGAGTATGTTTAGTCATTTAAGTAATAAATGACAATTACACACATTTTGGTGTTGTGTCTCTATGTTCATGTGCCCATTTGGGTGCAAGAACTGATGTTTCGCGGTTCACATACTCATAGTTCTTGGAGAAGACTTTCATAATGTTGCCATTAGTAATCGGTGCATTAATTGTGTTCGAACCTACAAGAAACTCGCTTTTGAGTGGAAAAAGCAGCCGTAGGTAGGCATAATGTGACTGTAAACAGAATTGACAGTAGGCCTACTATACGACTCTTACCATCTAAAGGTGAACAGCATGGGTGCCACACTGTATCTTATGATTAAATTTGCAGTGCCTACTATACGACTCTTACCATCTAAACATGTAAGTTGAACAGCACGGGTGCTACACTGCACATTGTGCTCAAATTTGCAGTGTAGCAGACTGGATTCACTTCCATCACATCGAACCACGGCGGAACCAGGAGTCCTGATATCATTAGGATCAGGCTGTGTCAGACTTTCACTGACGCCAAGAAAATGTAGTTCTCTGCAAGCAATCTCAGCGGCTTGCAAATTCCAATGATCCTGACAAACAGAAATCCAGCTATTGTTTTTGAAGATTTCAACCAATCCCTGGTGACCTCCTTCTTGAATTCTTATAGTATCTACAAATTAACAGTATGGAAAATTTAATTGACCAATACACTGGCAGATGATCATTTCAACGAAATTGAGGATAACATAATAACAGTACAACAAATTAATATTTGATAATTTAAAAAGACCTTTTTATTTATTGCCACATAATACAGATTGCAAAAACACTTTGGAATAAAATACGACTACTTTTAACAATTTAGATTATGGCATAAAAATCCTAATAATAAATTGAATGATGTAACATAATAACCTGAGGAAGACAAACAGTTTCTTTCAACGAAATTGAGGATAACATAATAACAGTACAACAAATTAATATTTTTGATAATTTAAAAAGACCTTTTTATTTATTGCCACATAATACAGATTGCAAACACACTTTGGAATAAAATACGACTACTTTTAACAATTTAGATTATGGCATAAAAATCCTAATAATAAATTGAATGATGTAACATAATAACCTGAGGAAGACAAACAGTAATTTCTTGTTCAACTTAAATATATCTCCTCACCTGTTGAACATTCAATAAAGTAATATAGGCCTATCGAATAAAATCCTCGTTCACTGAAATTACATTGAAGTGAGCCGTGTTGTATACTACAATCAATGCATGGATAAATATCATTTCGACTGTCTTGTCGAATTAAATGTATTCCAGATGATTGCTGTTGCAAGCAGACAAATTGAAGTACATCTTCTGTAGTGTCGCACATGTACGTCCATTTGTTGTTAAAATATGTTTGGGCAAAACCTGAATTTTTGGAATTTCCATCAATAAATCTCGATCCACCTGTCACCAAGAGAAAATATTGGCATAACACACACAAATAAATACACAAAAAACGTCACTGTTACACATCCATAATGGTAAAAAGATGGAAAAAATGTTTAAATATTTATATAAAAATTACAGGACCTACAATAAAATTTAAGACACAAAATTATCACAGAAAATGTACAAAATAGAAATGGATTACTTTCACGAAAATTATACTTGATATCAAAATGTCAAATAATGATCAAAACTAAATTACATAAAAAAGTACAAATCACATCAAAAAGTTACAAATTATGCAAAACAAACAAGGAACCAAAGAAACGAGACGATTAGAACTTCAGGGCAAATGAAAGGCAGATGCAATATAATATATGATAAGCCTATGATAATATATGTTGATGCTAATATCCACAACATTACTTAAATGAAATAGTCTGTTTATCTTTCCACTGTGTGCAATTTTGGTATATGAACAATTTTTAAATTCACATTTTTTTGGGTGCTGTTTTTTAATTGTTTTCATTTTAAATTGTATATGATTTAACTTTTTAGAATTTTACTTATTTGCAAATCAGTATCTGTATTTTAGATGTAGGATATATTTATTTTATATAATCGTATTTTAATGTCAATTTTTAATTTTTAATGTGTTTACTGTAATTATTTAATGTGTAATTTTGGACCCCATTGGAATTGTTCCTGATGCTCATTAATTTTTACTTTTGTATTCACAAATTATTTTTTCATCTTGTATGTGAGTGTCGAGCATCGAATAATTTCAATCATTAATCAATCAATCAACCATAATGTTACCATGATAGCATAAAATCAAACATAAATAATCGTACTTGTTTCACATAATAGATAAACATCCCTTTCGCACATATTATTTGGTATGATTTTAAACATGCACTCTTCAAATCTGCTCTCCAACCCAGAGCAAACAATATTGTTGATAGTTGACGATGTGCTGTTGCTGCTAGAGACGTCACTAATATTGAAAACGTCATCAAAATTGAGTTGCTTGCAAATAACCCTGGCGGCCTCCATGTCAATATCTGATGTGCACACTTTGTGCCATCTTGAGTCGGTATATATTTCAAGAAGTCCGTCTGATTGGGATTCCCCTTCACTTAGCCTTACTCCGTCTGAAACAAACATGTCCATCATTCAATCGTAATAATCTATAAAATATTGATTGTGTTTAAATACTCAAGCTATGATGAACACATACTTAGCAAGTAAAATTTGCATATCTCCTACATACAAGCAGTTTGTTCAAGATTCAAGAAATCGTATTGGACCATAGAAAAATATAGAAAATTTAATTGCTTGGCAGATGAATATAGAAAAAATATAATAAATGATAAATGCATTACAATGTCACAAAAGGAAGACAAGATTGGTACATAATAAAAACATACAAATAACAGAATGAAAACAAATATAAAGGAACACTGTAATAATAACGTTTAAAGGTCTATAAAAGTCAATGAAAAAAAATAGTTTTAAATTAATTAAAAAGTTAAAATCATAATAAAAGTGAATTTAAAATTATTTTAAAACATTAAAAATCATGTAAAACATTAAAAAGTTAAAGCTGTTAAAAACACTTACGGTACCGTATTACAGCAGACCATCGTTTAACATTAGAAGTAAAATTGTTAAATAAAATGTCTTAATTATTTTAAAACATTATAAAGGTTAAAACTGTTAAAACTCTTAGATATCTAGAACAATAAACATTTAGACAGAGCTAATTTTAGCAGTCACAGACTAATAAGATCCGAGTTGGACAGCCGAGTGGTTAGTGTAGGGGCGCCGCAACCTACAGCCAAAACATCGGCGGTGGTTCGAACGGCACGCTCACCTGTGGTTCTGGTGATGGAACAAGTCTTCTCGAATAAGGACTATAAACAGTTATGCCCAGTGTAGGCAATTTGGCTCGTGTGCACTTAAAAAAACCCAGTACATCTATCGAGACAAGTAGGGGGTTAACCCGGTGTACTGGTCCACAGCCCCTGTTGTTTACAGACGAGAGTAGCTGGTACCGGGTAGCTCAGACATGAAAAGACCCTTAGGGAAGAAGAAAGTTACTGTACGAGCAAGTCCACAGCGCTTTGAGACTCGGGTACGGTATAAAACGCTATATAAGTCGGTGACGGCCACGCTTGGGCGAAACAACGAAATGACCGCACGCTTAGGAAAAATAAGCAAAGATTGCACCACGCTTAAAATGTTTGCGCCACACTCAAAATATGTACTAGGCCTAAGTATATTTTGTTCAAAACATAAATACTGTACCAAAGTGTCGAACTGCAATGTGGCCATGGGGAACAGTACCTGTTCAATCGCATATCATCATGAGGCACCGCCTTCAATGCAAGCTCAACTGCAGGATCTCTTTGTACGCCGCCCTTGCGTGCAAGTATAGGTACCTGTAGGCGGTGGGCGGTTAGTGGATAGGGCGTGTTCAGAACCGCACGTGTGTGGCGATTGCAATGTTCGGTGAAGTGTCCGTTTTTTTTTATGAACGGTGATTGATAAAATAACATATATTAATTGAATTTACGTGAATTTCTTATGAAAAACTTTTTTTAATACTGATTTTCGGAATTACCGTACATGTGATGGACTGCAGTCGGAATACAACAGTAATTTAGTTGGTTCCTATTATTATAAAAACTAATAATTACCACTTCAAAGTATTATAATTAGTATTTAACACAACAGCAAACATGCACTCGACCATGATTACAAAATTATAGCCTCAATTTTATAGCTCCGCACTACACACATTCGACCTACTGGAGATTGAACCAAGTCGGAAGGCTTTTTTTCCAGAGGGGGTGGAGGCAGAGTGTGTTCAAATCTTTATCCACATCAACACTTTAGTATACGCATATTTGTATGTATAACAGACTCCATCCTGTATGTACTACTTTTGATAAATTGTTTCCTAATTGTTTTCATAATTTGCAAATTTGGTTTGCAAATAATAAATTAAATTAAATGTATCGAGTAAATGAAATTTAAATTGTGGGACACAGGGTAAGCCGTGTGATGTCCGACACCCTAAGTAGTACGAATGTATCAACCCTTTATGCACCACCCTTTACATTTTTTGAACAACATTTTATGAAATTCCGCCACTCTTTAAAAAAAAATCCTGGCTAGAGGGCTGATAAGAGAGTTAGTTTCCAACTTGAGATAATTGCCAAAAGGAGTTATTTAGCACACAAATGTTTCGGGCATCGCCCTTTATCAGGTATACGTACAGATATAAATGAAAACGAGTATAGATAATTAGAATGGCTATAGAACCACTAATATAGCCACTAATCTCACATCCACATTCTACAATATATACAGTATACTCGTGCTCATTTATATTTGCTTTTGGCAACACTAGACACCTCTCCAGAGATTTAGTAGTGCCACGGCCTATGTGTGCTGATGCCTAGACCACGGGTATACGTGCAGATTTCTTTCGTACAACTGAATGAAATGCTCACGACTGAAACGCTCACACCATGCAGGAATTCCTCCATGCTCACACATTGGAGCTATGGATAGCCTAAGCTGGAAAAGCTTATAGGTCGCAGCTTTAAAATCATAGGCCTAATATTCAAATTAGGTTAAACACATATAGCATAGCCTTTCATCGAACATTTTCTTTTAGCAGGCCCGTATGCAGGATTTTTATTGGGTGGGTGCGAATTTATGGAAAGTGGACCATGAAAGTTGGGCGGGGGACGCTAAGGACATAGCCCTTTTGAGGTCGAGTGGGTGGAGCCCCATCGGGCTCAGATATTTGAGGTTTTAATAGATTTTGAAGATGCAATTTGATATGTCCAGGAAATGAAGGAGCCAGGGAAGGACCTTTAAAGATGGAAGGTCGATATTACCTCAGCCCTACCATGGTTGGTGCTGAGGACAATTTTTAATTGTGGCACCCTAGGCAGCCGGAAATGCCACTCTAATATTAAAAGTTGGAAATTGCGAATATGAACAAATAATTACAATCGCTTTACGTCGTGGATGAATAGGTAGACTTTAAATATACCGTATATAAAATCGAGAATTCATAAAATAAACGTATAGTGATCTGATCAGGAACAAGGTAGGGGAAGCAATAAATTGATTTTTTTCAAAGCGAATACGTCCACCACCACTCTACCGGGCCAGGTTTAACATATGGGGGCCGTGGCGTATTCAGAAATTCGAAATAGAGAGGAGTGTCCAGTGAGGAATTTTCACAGAAATAGAGGTCCCGGTTCACCCACCTTAGCAAGCCGCGGCCCAACCATGTTTGGGGTTGAAGAAAAGAATATTTATGATTATGCCAATTATAGTCGGAAATGGAGCTCTCAGATTTAAATTTGAATATAAATTACTGTATGTTTTGTTTTTTTCTCCATTTTCCTTCAAAAAATTGTTGGTGGTTTGGTTCGGCTAGTATCATACTGTTGAACGGTATTAAATTCACTAAATTTAAATCACCAATCGCTGATTCCGGTCGTGGCTACAGTAGAAATGCCACAATAGCATAGGTCACGCTGTGTTCCACTTTCACTTTGACGGTCTAAATTATCCATCTAATAGTGGTGTAATAATAAAATGAACATTTAAAGTTATAGGCATACCTCTTGCACACGTGACTCCCGATTGACTGTCGAGGTTGTACGTCGTATACATGCTGCAATCAGAGAATTCTTGTTCATCACCTATACAATTTACCCCGTACGAAGGCATTTCATATGTGGTTCCTAAAATTCCGCAACAGTCAGAGAACTCGGCCGCTGGATAGCCTAGCTGACGGCAGATTAGGTGAGCTTCATTGAGACGCAAGCCGTTTACTGTTGACCACTGACCAAAATAGAAAATCTCTACCAGACCTTCGTGTGACTGTTTGCCCACTAATCGAGTTTGCACTGTAAACAATTATTTCATAGCAGAACATAATTTTTCAGATATTTCATTATTTTACCAAAAAATTATAGATTATTACTAGACAAATTTAATAAACTTAACCTGGTAAACATATGATGCCAACATCTTTAGAGTGAGTACACAATGGGTCTGCGTTTGAGTTGACTGGATTACAACTGGGGCTAGAAGCATCTTCGATGCACCCACTAACATTTGACCAAATGTCTCCTGTTCCCGCACCAAAGCTGTATACTAAATATTCCTCGACGCCTTCATAACCCAAACTTTTACAAACTAGATCTGCGTCATTTTCAGTCCATCCATTAGAACAGATGGTCCCAAATACAGGCCCTTGTAGTTCGATTCGTCCTTTCCTGTTTACTGGACCACCGACCAGTATTAATGAAGCTTTTAAAAAGAATATAATATTTTATTTTAAAAACACAAATTGTCCTGATGACACCAATTTTTGCTAAAAAAAAACCACTTAGTTCATTGTACTAGACTGTTTATATATAATAACATTCTGAGATTTGTTAGAAATTAACCGGATCTAACTATGCATTTTGTCTGGCATAAGTAAAACTTGGTAAAACCTACATAGCTTAGGTTAATAGTAAATATATTTTTGGATTTGTTTAAAATCGATATTCAATTGAAAATTGCGATTGCAATTTGTCAGTTGAAGTTAATATAAAAAAAATATATTTCATTTTAATTTTTCACATTTTTAAAACTAAACAACTTGTGACTTACAACATAAGATCTTTGCCTCATCAGAATAATCTCCGCAATCGTTGTCATCATCACATACCCACGAATCAGGAATGCAACGTTCTGTGCCACACGTAAATTCAGTATTGCCACACAGAGGACCATCATCTATTCGAAATAAGAAGGTTTCATCTGTCAGCATTATTTTGTCAAATTTGAAGTAAACTCGACAACTCATTATGTATAGGCATATATAGCCATTTTAAATATTAAATGAATTAAACAGTTGGTGTTTTTTATTCTATTTTGTTTTTTAATCTTTAATTGTTACTCCTCTCCACAAACGTTGTCACAGAATTCCGGCAATTGAAGTATTGTAATCCGAAATATATTCAAAAACATTTAATGATGAATATGTATTATTAATGTGTTGTGTAGTTGAAAGTCAGCTTTTATCCACATAAATACATAGGCCTAGTATCTGAAAAATCACAACAAAAACGAGATGTAACAATTACAGTTGTAGTCTGAGCTTAGGAGAGAAAGAAATTAATATACGCGCCTATATAAATTCAATTGATTATTACGGTACATTACATAAAAAGGGATTAGGCCTAGTTGTTGAAGGGTTTATCTCCTGACTATTTAAAACCCGCTACGGCACCGAAGGCCAACTTTGATCTAGAATTTCGAAGAAAGAAGAGAGAGAACAATGATAATGAATGGTATTGATAATAATAATAATAATAATAATAATAATAATAATAATAATAATAATAATAATAATAATAATAACAATATTAATAACAATAATATTAATATGTACCATTGTTGCTACTAGAGTTTGAATCAGATGATAGATACCCAGAATCGCTACTGCTACTGCTACTGCTACTGCTACTGCTACTGCTTCCACTGATGCTGCTGCTCAAAAAAGAATAAAGTGATGCATACACGCAGACCAAAAGTAGATGTTGGGAAATGGACGCCATTACCATGTACAATATTTGTCAAGTATATTTACAGATATCTGAAATATATGACAATATTTGATATGTAAATAACATAAATATTTAATAGGATTGTTAATAATAATTATACTACCACCAGTAGTACTCAATAATAATACGTATTTTATAATGCGCATACCTCTGGCCTGTTTCTGAATATCAAATGATAAAGAAGAAATTAAAAAAAAACAAAACATGACTTTTGCATTTTCACCCAAAATTTTGTGAACCCTTCTTCACACTAATATAAACTTTAGGTTGGTCCATTCATTAGTTTTTACGATATTAATATGGTTTTTGACATTTTCGTGGCCTTGAATTAAGTTTGAATTCCAAAATGTAGTATTCTCTTTCTTATATATAACTCCACTAATTTTATGATAATCCATCACTTTAATCTTTACTTAATACATTTAACAATAAAATAGACAATGACTGTTTGGAATGCACAAGACCAGATACAAACAACACTATGGTGTTTTTAGTACAAGAAAATTCATGGGAAAAAAGATGAAATTCGCTCATAGCATGTACGGTAGGCCTGCCTATCACCAAATCAATTTTGATTCTGGGATATTTTAGAATTATCATTGTAAAAATGTAAATATTTGTGTTAATCACCATTTATATGCCTTTAATGCTATTAACGTTATCATATATAAGCATCTTAGGCCTTATATCACCATAAAGGGCTTTATACCATGTGACAGGAACTACCGATTGAAACAAGCTGATAATTGGTAGTTCCAGGGTGGTTCCTATCAAGTTTAGCTTGACTTGCAATATTGATTATTCACATACGTGGATTATTTAGGTAATTACAGCAACGCCCATACAATAACGTTTGTTACAGGGACACCAATCACTATTCCTCTTATTATTGCAACCCATTCCCATTGTGTTTGAGGAAATAAAACTATGCATGATTACGTCTATATCTAACGACCATGTTAAGTTACCATGAACATTCCTTCCTATTATAGAACTGGGTTTTTCCGTATAAAGCCATGTCAAAAAAAAGTTGTTCATTTTCCAGCTCCAGGAGTCGTCTTCCTTAAACCATGGACCTATTAATAAGGTCTTATTAATAGGTCCATGCTTAAACTGAATTGTGCCTCAATGGAGGCTTATGACATTTGATCATTTTACTATATATATA